TAAAATTTTTCACCAATTCAATTAGTCTGAATAATTATGAAAAATTTTATTATTTCTAAAAATTTCCACTAAAACTCTGTCAAAAATTCAATTGTTTACCCAAAATTTTTCTCTAATTTAATTATTTAAATAGAAAACTTAATATTTTTTAAATTGAAACTGTAACTTTAAATTTTTAACTGAAAAAATTCAAGGAAAGTGTAAGGTTTTTAATATTTTTAAAGTAGAACAAAAATGTGAATTTTGACAATATTTCTATAAAAAATTAATATTTTTCCACTACTTTGACTTTCACTTTGACAATTGACTTTCGAGTTTCAATCTCACACTGTCTTTCACTTTGACACTGCCTTTCATATTCACTTAGACTTCCACTTTGACATTCAAAGTCAAAGTCAACGTGTGAAAAGTGTTTATTCAAAATCATGTATTTGATATCTAACAAACAAAAATGTTTTTAATAAACTTTTATTTTATATATTAATAATAATATTTAAAAAAAATATAATCCACTTTCGCTCTTTGACTAAATCCTCTAAGTTTTTATATATCTTCGCGCGATTTTTTGCTCCCCATATTCATTGGCTTTCTCTCTTCTTGTTGTATTCACAGTCACTAGTACTTGTTATGTATATCTCGTGCCAGGTAGACTAGCAGGTACTTAATACAAGCGCATTTAAACTTTAAAGAAGTCGATCATTGTGTTTAATATACATGTATAGGGGACTAGGAAAGGCCCCCTTGTAAACGCCTCGACAGGGCTGGCAACCACTAACTGATTCCTATATATTTCCCGCTACGATACACATCAACCTGACGTCAATATAAATGCTTAAAATTTAACATTGTTCATTGTGTACTGGAAATCTTACAGGAACATTTATAAACATTGAACATAAATAAAAAATACATAAAAATACATAAAAATACATGAGAATACATGAAAATACATAAAAATACATAAAAATACATAAAAATACATAAAAGTACATAAAAGTACCTAAAAATATATAAAAATACATAAAAATACATAAAAGTACCTAAAAGTACATAAAAATGTATCAAAATACATAAAAATACATAAAAATACATAAAAATGTATCAAAATACATAAAAATACATAAAAATACATAAAGATACATAAAAATATATAAAAGTACATAAAAGTACCTAAAAATACATAGAAATACATAAAAGTACCTTAAAATGTATCAAAATACATAAAAAACATAAAAATACATAAAAATGTATCAAAATACATAAAAATATATAAAAGTACATAAAAGTACCTAAAAATAAATAAAAATACATAAAAGTACCTAAAAATGTATCAAAATACATAAAAATACATAAAAGTACCTAAAAATGTATCAAAATACATAAAAATACATAAAAGTACCTAAAAATATATAAAAATACATAAAAATACATAAAAGTACCTAAAAGTACCTAAAAGTACCTAAAAGTACCTAAAAATGTATCAAAATACATAAAAATACATAAAAGTACCTAAAAATGTATCAAAATACATAAAAATACATAAAAATACATAAAAATACATAAAGATACATAAAAATATATAAAAGTACATAAAAGTACCTAAAAACAAAAAAAATACATAAAAGTACCTAAAAATAAATAAAAATACATAAAAGTACCTAAAAATGTATCAAAATACATAAAAATACATAAAAATACATAAAGATACATAAAAATATATAAAAGTACATAAAAGTACCTAAAAATACATAGAAATACATAAAAGTACCTTAAAATGTATCAAAATACATAAAAAACATAAAAATACATAAAAATGTATCAAAATACATAAAAATATATAAAAGTACATAAAAGTACCTAAAAATAAATAAAAATACATAAAAGTACCTAAAAATGTATCAAAATACATAAAAATACATAAAAGTACCTAAAAATGTATCAAAATACATAAAAATACATAAAAGTACCTAAAAATGTATCAAAATACATAAAAAACATAAAAATACATAAAAATACATAAAGATACATAAAAATATATAAAAGTACATAAAAGTACCTAAAAATAAATAAAAATACATAAAAATACATAAAAGTACCTAAAAATATATAAAAATACATAAAAAACATAAAAATACATAAACAAGGAATGTTGATATACAAAAATGATTTTTTTTCTAGTTTGCAAAAAAATTTTCAAGAAAACAACTTTTACTACAAAAATAATAAATTATTACTAGCAGAATAATAAATTGTTGTTCTAGTAAAAGTACTGTACACGATTGGGGAAAAATATAGCAAAGAAGAGGAATAAACGGTGAGCGAATGATTTTTCGCGTGGCAAAGTTTAGATAAAACGATAAATTCTGAGGTGAGTTGCGTGTTTTGCGGAAAAAAAATATGTCTCGTATAATGTAGTCTAGTAAAAGCAAACAGTATAATTTTTCCCTCTCACAGTGAATATTATTTCTCCTCTCCAATAATTTGAAGAAAACAAAGGAAAGAATTATATATTCTCCAGGCCTCATTGAACATTTTTCCTTTTTTTCCTCTAAATATACATCACTTCTACCCACAGCTCATTATTTATTACATTCAATTCTTATCACAAATGAGACAATAAATAAAATAAATAATTAAAGAAAAACTGTTAGTGTAAAAAAATTGAAATCGAAAAAAAGAAGAGTGAAAAAATTCCTAAAAACGATGAGTGAAAAAATTGCCAAAAAAGAAGAGTTAATTATTATTATATTCTCATCACAAGTGAGACAATAAATAAATAAAATAAATAATTAAGAAAAAATTGTTAGTGTAATATTCAAAAATTGAAATTGAAAAAAAGGTGGAAAAATTTCTAAAAACGAAGAGTGAAAAAATTACCAAAAAGAAGAGTGAAACAGTACAAATATACAATTGGGATAAAATGAAAAAGTTTAATAAATAAAATAAGTTCAATAAAGTTTAGACAAAAGAATAAATATTCATTTTCAATTTACGAAAAAAGTATATAATACAAAATTTATCCAATAAAAAATTTAAATACCCAATAGAGTGATCTTACCTTTTATTAAATCTTTACAAAAAAAGAATATCATAAAATTGTGAATTTCGAATAATATATATTTATTTTCTGACTTTAATATCTATTTGATTGGTATACCTTAGAATTTTATCTAATTCATAATAGATTTATTAATTTTATAATAGCGTGCAATTAAAATTATCACTTTTTTTCACTCAATTGTTGAATCATTCATTTATTATTATTAATCCTATATATATAGAAGCGGAAGAAAAGTAATAATTGATTTAGCAAATGAAGAATAGCAAATTTTCCCTACTCTTCAATTTTTACTATAATAATAAGTTCACCTTATAATAGACTATAATATGTCTACCATAAATTTCTATCCCGTAATTTTTCTTAAAAGAAAGAAAAAAAATTTTACAATTCTTATTTTTCTCCGCAATTAATAATAACTTAAATTTAAAATATTAATATTATATTGACTATTAAGTTATTACATATTATAAAATTTAAATATATATTATTAATCATTTGTACCTTATAATTTTATATGTAATAATAATTATTTAATATTGTAATAAAATTGTAATTTTAATAATAAATAATTATTAGTAATTTTATTTTTAATTTTGATATTATTCTTTTTAGCAATAATAATTAACATTCTTTTAATATTAAATTTATAAAATTATAAATTCTTTTTAAGTAAATACTTTTAGAAATTTAAATTATTAACTTTATTATTATTAACAATTTGTTATTATAAACACGTTATTATTAACAAGTCGTTAATAATAACTATTTAGTATTATTATTACACTGAAAAAAGTGTATTTAATTCAAATAACCAATTCTTTGACTATTATCAATTAAATTATTTATAAGCTTATAAATTATTTACTTGAATCAAATAATTTTTAATTGAGTCAATTAAATAGTTCAATTAATATTTACTTCATTCAAATATTGAAATTATTGGTTCAAATACCATTTCATTGACGTAAATAAAAATTATTTGATTCAAGTAAATATTTATTTGATACTAGACAAGTAATCGATTATTTAAATCAAATAAATTTTTTTTTCTCTGTGTAACAAATAATTTTATTTAAAAATATAATGAAAAAAAATAATGATTTTAAATCTAAATTAGAAAAATACAAAAACTAATCTTAAAAAATGTACTTTTATTACAATAAATAATAATAACGATAATATTAATAGTAAATAATAATAATACTAATAATAACAATAATAACTATGTATTTATAATATAAATAGATACTTAAATAAATAAATAAGTAAATAATAAAAATAATAATAATAAATAAAATTATAATAGGTATAATAATTTATTAAATAATAATAAATAATAATGATAATAATTATAATAATTAAATTAATAATAATAATAATAATAATAATAATAATAATAATAATAATAATAATAATAATAACAATCATAATCATAATAATGATGAGTATCATTACTAATATATTCATCACTATATTATTATAATTATAATCGTATTTGTAAAGTTATAATAATAATAATAATAATAATTATTATTATTATTATTATTATTATTACTATTATAAATATTTTTATTATTATAATTATTATTATTATTATCATAGTAAATAGTTTAAATAAGTTTAAACTAAAATAAAAAAAGGAGGATAATTATTAATTGGCATTTGCCGTTAGATAACTTGTATTAAAGTCTTTATTATTATCTCAGATTTTGAGCGGGTGACTTATTAATTTTTAATCAATTTCCTTTATTAAGGGACCACAGTGTCATCGGTTAGAACACATTTTAGTTCCTTTATATAATCGTTCGTCATGACATTTTATTTCATTTGTTCTTTTTTTTAATAAATAATTAATCAGCTCTCATTATAACACGTAATTAGGTTCAATTTTGTTTTTTAATATTTGTCGTGATTATAGTGCTCTCTTTTTATCTGTAGATTTTTATAAACATTTTTTTTTTAAATGCAAAACCCCAAAGGGGCGTGCTCGCGAGGTATACAAATTTACGATTTGTTCTGTTTTTTTTTTTTTTCTTTTTTTTTTAATAAAACAACAACATTAAAATCTCACTCGTTGCACATTTACGCACAATTATAACTTTCAGTCCACAATTATATTTATATTTTTATTATAATAATAATTATTATTATTTTAGAAATTAATAACGATAAAATGTCACTTTTTTGCACATTTGTTTCATAATTTCGTACTTACATGTAAATAAATACTATATCGTACACATCGACAAAATATCCGCAACTACGGATTTCTATACAATAAATATATACATATATAAGTGAGTGTATATTTATATAATATTTATATATATATTTATAATTTTGTTAATATCGTTTTTATGTTTACGCGCTTTCTCGAAATTATAATCATAACTATATATAAGCATAACAGTGTATATATAGCAATAATACGAATAAACATTTTTTCTTTTAATAAATAATTTAATAACCCGTTTGTAATGCGCTTTTTTTTCATTGTGGATAATGTTAATTAACTTTCAAAATTGAAAATTCAGGGGAAAATAATTTTTTAACACGCGTTTTATAATTTAATTTAATATTTAAAACTACTGCGCAATATTACGTTCGGTAGTAAAATTTTATTTTCTACTATTCGTAATAAAAATTCGTTCGTGAAAATTAAAATCTTCCACAATGTCATATTATTCAATTTCATAAGTACACAATTGTACTAGTAAATAATTATTAATTATATAGTACAATAAAATTTGATAGTAACAATAATAATTGAATATTTTTTTTTCATTCGTCATCAATAAAAATAAAGTACATATTTTTTAACAGTGATAATTGTAATAAATAACAATTTTCAATCGTCGTTTTTTTTCCCGGGACGGTTAGGGGACGTTGACACCGGATTTAGAGCAAAAACAATAGAAGAGGTCGAGAGTGGGGGGAAGGGACAAAAAATTTGTCAATATTTTCCAAAAAATTAACATTCTTTTTCTGTTTTTCGAAAAATTAGATATCACAATATATAATCATATTTTTAGAACCTTTTTTTTTAGATTTTTTTATTTTTGAGCTTAAGTCATGTGTGTGTGGTAAGTTACAAAAAATATTTTTACTATACTTTTGAGAAAAAATTTTTTGAAAAAAACATTTTTTTAGAAAAACATTTTTTTTTCCATGGAAAAAAATTTTTATTTATAGGGGAAAAAAAAAATTATCTATCTCTTTTGAAAATAAAAAAATATTTTCGTCAAATAATTTAATTTGTTATTTAAAAAAGTTAAAAAAATTGTGACATGACTTTCTCTCTCTCGTAAATTCGAATATTTGCGTCATTCGGTATTGAACAATTTATCATTGTGGATAAAATGTTTTTTATTTTTGCTAACGATATTTTCGTAGTATTTTTTTCTTTTTGGCTAATTGTCCTGCTCCGAATACCGAAAATGAATTCGGGGACGGGGATTTCGTAGTTTTCGTCTTTTTTTTTTAATTTAAACTGAATGCAGTCAACCTACTTTAATCCATCTGTCAATAGAGTATTCTATCGCTGCAAGCCACCTGCAATTTATTTATTTTCGATTTAATGTTTGTAGAATAATTTAATAATTTAATATTTGTAGAAAGAAGGGAAAAAAATAATTTCGGACATTCAGAATATATAAAAGTAGTGCTAGAAATTGATTATTTTAATTTTTAAATTAAATTTTGTTTATTTTTACACAGTTTTTCTATGGATATCAAATTGAGACAAAAAACGAATCAAAACGTTGCTTCGCAACTATTTTGATACGTTTTTTGTCTCAATTTGATATCCTTAGAAAAAATATATATATTGAAAAATGAAACAAACCTCTTTTTGTCGATTTCGGATTCGGTGGCGAATGTGAAAGTCCTCTGGGTAGGATCGGGTGGTTCAAGTTCAAAGGCGTGTTTTCTACCACCAGAATTTGGAGCACTTGCGTGTACCCGAAAACCATGGAGACACGCGACTCCGAATGCTTGCTCGGCATTAGCGTCGTCATAAAAATAGAGAGCTGCGTCTTTTAGAACACAATATCTTCGGGACCAACCGGAAGATGCAGTCGCTCTTCGAATGTGTCTTTGTAATTTATTGAGATAACCGAAGCAATCAGGTCTTTGAATTGAGCAAGGTGGCATCTGTTGCATCCTCAAGGATGTGTCCAGCCAGGTACCAGCCTTCAAAAACAATAATTTTTTTCTTGATTAATTATATCAGGCTTTCTCATCTACTAAAACTTACTATTTATTACTTTTTCAATAAAATCTACTACATACTACTTTTTTTAATAAAATCTACTATTTACTACTTTTTTACTAAAATTTACTATTTACTACTTTTTTTACGTTTTGATTCTATTTGGGTACTTTTTTTAGATTTCAGCCACTAAAACCTACTATTTCTGTTTTTTTTTTTTTGAGAATTTCAACTTATTTAAATTCGCTAATACTAGAAATCAGAAAACGATTCTAAAATTATAATCAAATTCTCTAAAACGATTCAATTATTTTCAAAAAATATTCGAAATTCTATTTTTAATATCTAGCATTTTCAAAAAAATTTCGAAAAAGTCAATATTATTTAACAAAATTTTTAAACAATTCTTCACAATAATTCAATTACTTTCACTAATAATAACATTTTTTTTATAGAAATTCAATTTTTTAAAGAAATTTTTGATAAAATTTTAAGCAGGAATTCAATTATTTTCATAAATAGTAAAATTCAGCGAAGAATTTCAATTATTTTTAATATTACTTTAAATTAACTAATCGAAAATTCAATTATTTTGAGAAACAAAAGTTTCCACAAGAATTCAATTCAAATTCTTATGAAGAATTCAATTATTTTTCAAAAATAACAAAATTTTTCACAGAAATTCAATTCTTTTTAAACATTTTAATAAAATTTTTCACAACAATTCAATTATTTTCATAAATAATAAAATTCATCACAAGAATTCAATTATTTTGGAAAATTTAAATAAAATTCTTTTCAACTATTCAATTAATTTCTTAAATAATAAAATTCATCGTAGGATTTCAATTATTTTTAATAGAATTTTACAGGAATTGCTTAAAAAAATGTAATTATTCTTAAAAATTGAATTTCGATTGCTGGAAAAAATAAATTATTTAAAAAAAATGTTTTTTTAAAATTCTCTGTAAGAATTCAATTATTTGTAAAAACATTAAACTTTTTGACAGGAATTCAATTATTTTCAAATATTCTAACAAAAAAAAATAAATTATTTTAAATACAATTTAAATGAAATATTTTTTAAAATAATTCAATTATTCTTTTAGATTTTAATAAAATTCTTCACAATAATTCAATTATTTACATAAATAACAATTCTTCGAAAGAATTCAATTATGTCGATAAATAACAAAGTTATTACCGAAAATTCAATTATTTTTGAAATTTTTAATAAAATTCTTTGCAACTATTTAATTATTTTCATAACTAATAAAATTCACCGCAGGATTTTAATTATTTTCAATACAATTTTACAGAAATTGCTCAAAAAATGTAATTATTCTTAAAAATTTAATTTCAATTCCTCGAAAAAATCAATTATTTAAAAAAATGTTTTTCTAAAATTCTTTAGAAGAATTCAATTATTTACAAGAATATTATAATTTTTCATAGGAATTCAATTAATTTCAAATACTTTAATAAAATATTTCGACAGACATCAATTATTTTAAATATGTCAATTAAATTTTTTTTGAAATAATTCCATTATTCTTTTAGATTTTAATAAAATTCTTCTCAAGAATTCAATTATTTACATAAATAATTATTTGAAAGAATTTAATTATGTCGATGAATGACAAAATTATTCCAGAAAATTCAATTATTTTGAGGCATATTAATAAAAGTCTTTGCAAAATTTAATTATTTTTATAAATAAAAATATTCATCACAAAAATCCAATTATTTTTTAAAGTAATAATTTTCTTCTTGAAAATTCAATTATTTAAAAAAATTGCGATAAAATCGTTCGCAAGAATTCAATTATTTTCATAAATAATAAAATGCTTTCTAGGAATTCAATTATTTTTTTAAAAAAACTTAATAAAATACCACATAGACATTTAATTATTGTCAAAAATTTTAACTCAATTCTTTGAAAAATTCAATTATTTTCATAAATAACAATATTCATCACAAGAATTTAATTATTTTTAAAAGTAATAAATTTCTTCTTAGAAATTTAATTATTTTAAAAAATTTCAATAAAATCTTTCCCAAGAATTCACTTATTTTCATAAATAATAAAATAATTTTTAGGAATTAAATTATCTTCAAAAAATTTTAATAAAATACCACACAGACATTTAATTTTATTGTCCACAATTTGAATTGAATTCTTTGCAACATTAAATTATTTTTAAAAACTTTTCGCAGTTCAATGATTTGCAATATCTACTATTTTCATAAAATTTCCAAACAGAATTCAATTATTTAAAAAAATTTTATGTAAAAATCTTTGTAAGTATTCAATTCTTTTCAAGAATAATAACAATTTTTCAAGGAATTCTATTATTTAAATTTTCAATTTGCATAAAATTAGTCAAAAGAAATGAATAATTATTATTTAAAAATTTTTATAAAATTCTTTGCAAGAATTAAACAACATCCAGAAGGATAGAATATTTTTATTATAACTTTTAAGTAGTAGCAGGTCCATCCGTAAGCTATTAAATAATCAAAATTTAAAAAAAGGACTTTTCAATTTATTTTTTCTCCTTCTAATAAATTTTTATAAGCTGATAAAAATTGCATGTATTAATTACAATTAATAAAAATTGCATACTTTGAGTATTTTAATAAAATTTAGAATTTATTTTAATTCTAACGTGATAAAACGTTAGTAAAAAAGTAAAAAAAAATCATTAATGCTGTTATAAAAAAGTGCAAGTCGAAATAGTGAAAAAAAATTAAAATCAAGTGACCTACTTGATTATTTCTTTCGACTGCTTCACGAATAATGGTGCTCCATCTTGCGGCAGCCTCGTCACTATCGGCAGCTAAATGTAGCGTCGGTGCACCTTTCTTCCTGATGGCAAAACTGTGCATTCGTTTCTCCAATGTTGGCTCAACGTCGTATTTTAGAAGCATTACTGCTCCTACCGGCTGAGAATCCTAAATTCGTGAATAATTTTTCTTTACTACTGATATTTAATTAAATTAAATTAATTAATTAATAATATTGTTTTATTATTATTATTTATTTAATTATTTATTTATTTATTTATTATTTATTTAATTTATTTATTATTTTATATTAAATTATAATTCGTGATTTTTGTTTTCAACTCAACAAATTATATTATAATATTTATTAATAATAAAATAAAAAATGTAATAATCAGAAAAAAATTTTTTAGAAATACGAGGAATTTTTTTTTTTTTTGATATAAAATAGAATAATTGACGTACCGCGTCAGTCTTATAATAATAAAGGCAGTTGTCACGACGAAGAGCAAACCATCTTCGAACCCATTTATCGGGACTGCTGGAAGTGGCAGCTTTCCTCCATAGATATCCCGCGCAAATTGGTGCTTCAACTGAACTTTCTTTAGTGCCACTTCTACCAATTTGAGGCGCTAAAACGTTACAAGTCGTTGCAACCTCGAGTTCGAGAACATCGGATCCTGAATGGGCCATTCGTACCACTTCGGAATGTGTTGCGTCCATAACATTCCTTCCATTAACTGTCATTATTATATCACCAATTTCTAAACCGGAACTCTCCGCCGGCGTGTCCGGTTCAATAACTGACACCACAACTGGTTTTGATCCATGAATTCTAAAGCCAAATTCACCGCCAGCCTCGCGTTTTATTATCACTCGTTTATCACTCTCTGTAAAAGAAAAATTTATTATTTTATTATCAAATTAAATACAATATTCATAAAATTATATAATATCACCGCTTTTCTAAAGATATCAAATTCAGACAAAAAAAAAGTATCAAAACGTTGCTTCGCAACTATTTTGATACGTTTTTTTGTCTCAATTTGCAGGCCTCGCACTCATCTACTAAAACTTACTATTTACTACTTTTTACGATTTGCTACTATTTGGATACTTTTTTTAATTTGTTACACTAAAAGCTACTTTCTTCCATGTTTGAGAATTTACACTAATTTAAATTTGTCAACAGTTGAAATAAAAAAATTATTTTAACAAATTTTAATAAAGTAATTGGAAAAAATTCAAAAAAATTTAATAAAATTCTTTAAAACGATTCAATTATTTTAACAAATTTTTCTTTATTCAATAATTTTTAAGATCTACTATTTTAATAAAAAATTTCCTAAAAGAATGGAATATTTAAAAAAAATGTTTATAAAATTAACAAACATTGAATTATTTTCATAAATAAAAAAATTTTACACATAAATTCAATTACTCAAAACAGAATTTTCTTAATATTTTTCGAAAAAATTAATTATTTTAATAGATTTTCATAAAATTCTTCGCAAGAATTCAATTATTTCTACAAATAATAAAATTCTTCTCAGGAATTCAATTATTTTTTTAAATTTTAATAATTATCGTTGCAAGAATTCAATTACATTTATAAATATTCAAACTCATCGCAGGATTTCAATTATTTTTAATACACTTTTAGAAGAATTTCCCAAAAAATGCAATTATTTAAAAAAAGTTTGATATAATTTGTTTATTAGAATTTAATCATTGTTTCAAATTTTATTATTAATTATATATTTCTTGAAAGAATTTAATTATTATCAAAAATTTTAATGAAATTCTTTAGAAAAATTCAATTATCTTCACGGATAATAAAATTATTTCGCAGGAATTCAATTATTTTCAGAACTTTTTATAAAACTCTTTACAAAAATTGAATTATTTAAAAAAAATTAATAAACTTCCCAAGAATTCAATTATTATTAAAAATAATAAAATTCTTTGCAAAAATAATGAAATTCGATTCCCTACAGAATTCAATTATCATCGCAGGAAATTATGAAATTATTTTCATAAATTTTAAAACTCATCGCAGAATTTCAATTATTTTTAAAAACAATAAAATTCTTCTAAGAAATTAAATTATTTTAAAAAATAATAAAATTCTTTTTAGAAATTCAATTATTTTAAAAAATAACAAAATTCTTTTTAGGAATTCAATTATTTTTAAAAATAATAAAATTCTTCTTAAGCATTCAATTATTTTTTTAAAATTTTAATCAAATTTTTTGCAAAAATTCAATTATTGTTATAAATAATAAAATTCATCGCAGGAATTCAATTTTTTTTAAATTTAATAATAATCGTTGCAAGAATTTAATTATTGTCACAAATATTAAAACTCATCGTAGTATTTCAATTATTTTCAATATAATTTTTAAATTAATTCCGCTAAAAATGCAATTATTTTTAAAAATTTGAATTAAATTCGTTGAAAAAATTTAATAATTTAAAAAAATTTTAATTTGTTTCCTATAGTGTACGTAATAATTATTTTCAATTAATTTTCAATTCCATTTTTTGAATAAATTTAATTATCAAAAATTTTACTGCAATTTTTCGTAAAAATCCAATTATTTTAAAAAATGGTGATAAAGTTCTTTATAAGAATTGAAATTTAAGAAATATTCAATTATTCAATAAAATAATTAATTTTTTATTTAAATAATTAAATTCTCGGAGAAATTTCTTATAATAATTGATTTAGAATTGAATGAAATAAAATAATTAAAGTTTTGAATAATTTAATTAAAAAAAAAAAAAAAATTTCAATTTTTAAAAAATGATTGAATTTTGAAAGAAGTACTTTTGTAATTTTTAGAAATAGTTACATTTGAATAATGTGTTACATTGAAATCATTGGAAATATTTTAATTCCTGTAGACAAAATAAGTAGGTATTTAAATATTTATTTATAAAAATTATTCTATTTTTGAATGTAATTAAGAAATTTAAAAAAAATTGAATTACCAAGCTAAATTTTTCCATAGCTATTTTTTTACTACTATTTTCTGTATTTAAGATACTTTTTGCTACTTTTTTAACATTACTTATCGAGTACGAATCCTGAATTAGATATCCGCAGAAAAACTGTGATAATAAAATTGGTTATTAATTAATTTAAATAAAAAATTATGAATTTTAAAAAATTTGAATCATTATTTTTCTTTCAGTAAAATTTTCAAAGTATTTTTCCAAATTATAAGTAAGAAAGTTATTTTAAATTTCGTCTTTCTGAATTTAAGACAAAAATATGGAATTAATGCGTAATATTGGATTTAATAAAGTAAAGCTGTATGTGTAAAAGCAGGAGAAGGGATTTATGTCACGAAATATCAAACATTTGGGCAGTATTACGCGGCCTTTAGTCATTCTGGTGATACATGTCGTTCCTCGGACCGCTTTATTTTAGCGATGCAATATCAGAGCTCGTTTAACAACATGTCAAAGCAATTCTGACCAGTCTCATGAATTTTCATGTCTCTCGCTTCATCTACAGCATCCCATCATAATCAATCTTCCTTAATATTCTCTTTTTTTTCTACATCATAGCTTCCACATTTTTTATATCCAATAGAGCGTGTATTACTATCGCGAACAAAAGAAGGAACAACGCAAGGTCTTTATTTTGTTTTTTCGTTTCTTTATATCGAAAAAAAGTCTCATTTTTTATATCCACATACATGTTTTCTTTTTATTCTTCATAGAAGATTAATTTTTATCTGCTATTTTTATTTATTTTTATTTATTTTTATTTATTTTTATATCAGATTCTCCTTTTGTCATGCGTTTATTTTCAACGTAGAAAATAAATTAAAAAACAAGAATATAAAAATAAAAAAAATAATATTAAGAAAAAGAACTTTGATTTATTAGAATAAAATATTTTTCAAGTGAAATTGAAAAGAAAGAAAAGAAGTGTAATTTTTCGAAATAAATGTGAAAACCGGGTTGAGAGTAAAGTGAGAGTAGTACTCGGCAGAGCTGTATGTTGGGGAAACATTAATCAGGAGCAAAGTTTTCCAATAGAAGTGAGTTGAAAATTAACGTCTGACTGTAAATCACTTTTACTACTGATATTAAAAAATTAACTGTTTGTATGATTTGAACATTTTTTGATATTATACTACTGAATATATTTAACAAATATATTTAACAAATTTCAAATTTACCATCAAGACTGAAAATATAAAAGTTGAGTAGAATACTGTCTGACTATAAATTACTTTAACTACTGATTTTTAAAATTTAAACTTAATGTCTTAATGAACAATCTTCTACTACTGACATTCTAAAAAATATTTATGTGTCGATTACAAGATCAAAATTATCACTCAATTTGTATTTGCAAAAAGGCAGAAAAATTCTGTCTGACTTAAAAACGCTTTTACTACTGATTAAAATAATCTGAAAATAGTGTTAAGGGCATTTGAACCATTATGACGTCACAATTTTAAAACTCATGCTTTGCACACATTGTGACGTCATAATGGTTCAAATGCCCTTAACGAATAAAATTTATCACTGAAAATGCTATTGCAAATGCTTAGTAAATTTTGTCTGACCAGATATTTATTTTACTACTGATATGAAAAAAATTATTATATTGTCTGACCAAAAAATTTTCTACTACTGATAAATTTAATTATTTAAATTATGATTGTAAATTAACATTTTTTACTGGAAAAGCTCTGTAAATTTTGTCTGACTACACATTTATTTTACTACTGATATAAAAAAAATTTATTCTATTGTCTGACCAAAGACATTTTCTACTACTGATAAATTTAATTATTTAAATTGTGATTTCCAATTAAAATTTATAATTAAAAATGCTTAGTAAATTTTGTCTAACTACACATTTATTTTACTACTAATTATAAAAAAAAATTTTTTATTGTCTGACTTAAACAGTTTACTACTACTGATTCATTTAATTATTTAGTAAGTTATAATAAAATCGAAACTGTTACAAAAAACACAAAATTTTTCTGAATATATATCGATTTTACTACTCTTATTCAATAATTACTGAGCGTCTGACGTAAAATTTCTCATACTACTTAAAACTAAAACTTTTGTTAAAATTTATTTCAAATTGCAAATAAATATAATTATTAGAATTGCAAATAATAAGCAAAATTCTGCCAGCCTAAAAATTTTTTCTACTCCTAACATGAACATTTTACTATTTAAAAGTAAAAATTAAAAAGTAAAATTTTTAAAAAGTAATTTCATAATTACTATATTGTCTGACCTAAACACTTTCCTACTACTGATGCCCTGAAATAGTTAAAAAAAATGTCTACAAACATCATTGCAAAAGATCAACAAATTTTTGTTTTTGTAAATGTTCAGTAAAGTTTCGTCTGACCCTGAATTTATTTTACTACTGATATAAAACATATACTGTCACTGTCTGACTTTAAAATTCTGCTACTACTAATAAGTAAATATTTTTGAATATGATTACAAATATAATTGCAAAAGGGTAAAAAACTTATGTCTGACTAAAAATCCATGTTACTACTGAAAAAATAAATTTTTTTGCGCTGTCTGACTTAAATACTCTTCTACTACTAATAACTAAATATTTACAAATAATTCCAAATGTTAAAAAATGTAAAATATTAACAATATTCTGTCTGACTGCATACCGATTTTACTACTGATTTTAAGAACTTATTGCATTGTCTGACTAAAATGAGTTCACTACTACTAAAATATTCGAATATTTATAAATAGTGATTACAAATCAAAATTATCAATTTCAAAAGTTTATCAAAATTGCAAAAGCCCAGAAAATGTATGTCTGACCAAAAATCTCTTTTTCTACTAAAAAATAAACATTATTGTATTGTCTGAC